TGCCCCCCAGCCGGCCAATCGTGCGCCGTAAAACAGTCGCTGGAAATCTTGGAGCTGTGGTCTCGGGGCGCACCTGGTCCCAGGTTAGGGTCTCCCCGTTCCTGTCATCACGGCAGGTTGGAGCGCAGAGGCGTTTTTCTCCGCATCGAGCAGGTTTTCCTTCCGGTGGGGAGTTAGGGTGGACCATGGAGAGAACAGGGGGCCCTGGGACTTCATCATGGGCGACCCCGGGGACGAAAGACCCGGAGGTTCCTTAGCAGCGCGGGGAGGCGGGGCCTGCAGTTGGGCGGGAAGGACCCGGAGAAAACGCTGGGGCAGGGGACCCTCCGGTGGCGGTGGCAGAGTTGAGGAGGCTGGCGGGTGACAGCTGAGAGGCCGACAGGCACAGAGCCGGGCCGGGAGGGCGGCGAAGGCCCGCCCGGTGCAAGGGGCTCGTCTTGGGGGCGGGTCGTGGGTCCACCTGTGGGCGAGGAAGGTCGCCCAGGACAGAGTCCAGCTCTAGGAGCCTGGGACAGGTGAGGCCTGCACGGAACCGGGCTGACCTCCCGCTCTCCCCAGGCCCCTGCCCGTCCTGCTTCCCCGCTGTGGCTCTCATGGCGCCGGCTGCCTCCCTGCACAGCCCGCGGCCAGCCTCCCGCCTGCTGCTCCCCCTGCTCAGCCTGACGGCCCTGGGCTCAGGTAGGGCTGGCTGTCCCTGGCTCCCATCGGTGTGGCGGGAAGCGTCATGGACCCTCGGACTGCAAAGAAAAAGCGTGGGGAAGGCTGAGTGCAGCCGACTCTGCTCCCCTGCACCGGACCGGGGTCCTCCCTAGGACCAGGGAGAAGCCAGGGGAGCCAGGAAGGCCGATGCATAATAACAGAAAACTTCCTAGTAGCAACATTTAAAAAGTAAAAAGAGGGACCAGCAGATGGCATCGTGGTTACCTTGCTAGGCTCCACCCAGTTGACAAGGGTTCGAGTCCTGGACCTGGCTTAAAACTCACCCCCTGCAGGGGTGGCCAAGCCACAATCCCTTCTCTTCCATTCTCCTGTCGGGATCTTGGGCACCACGCTCACCCGCCCGGCATGAGTTTAAGCCACCGGGTCTGGGACTCAAACCTCAGTCGACTACATGGGAGTCCAGCAGCAAAGCCTTTTCGCCAACTGCTGGTCCCAGTAAAAAGAAACATTTATTATTACTATTATATTATTCCCATAGCACCTCCCTGGCCACAGAGAGGCAGAGACAGAAAAAGAGGAAGCGGGACAAAGCGCCTGCAGCCGGCCTGGTCACCCGCAGCCCCTCCTCCTCGCCTCTGCTGCCAGGATATGGGGCACACGCGCGCACACGCACACGCGCACGCGCCCAGTGTGTTACCGGCTGTGGGCCTGGAAGTTAAACTCGTCGGCTGGCCGCCAGCGGCCCCCTCTGCCCCGGCCTTCCTGGCGGTGTCCCGCCTGACCCGCGTCTTGGTCCCACAGCCCAGTTTACCGTCCTGGGGCCGCGCCCCGTCCTGGCCATGCTGGGGGAAAACAGCACCCTACGCTGCCGGCTCTCTCCCGAGAAGGACGCCACGGCCATGGAGGTGCGCTGGTTCCGGGCGCGCTTCTCCCCCGCCGTGCTCGTCTACAAGGGCGCGCGGGAGAGGGCGGAGGAGCAGATGGAGCAGTACCGGGGCAGGACCTCCTTCCTGGGCGACGACCTCGGCCGGGGCCGCGCGGCGTTGGTGCTCCACCGGGTCACCGCGCCTGACGACGGCCTCTACCACTGCTACTTCCAGGAGGGCAGGTCCTACGACCAGGCCGTCGCGCGCCTCGTGGTGGCAGGTCTGTCCCTCCGCTGCTCGCGTGCCTTTCCCCAGGGCCACTTCCCCCGGGGCCATCACAGCCCTGCGGACTTTAGCCCCAGGTCCTCCCCCGAGAAGACAGGCTGGGACCTCCTGACCTGGTCACACGGGGCTCCCCGCTTAGCGTGGGGGCCACAGGGACAGCGCACCGGGACTCCGCTGTGGCCACTGTGGCCGCACGTGCCACCCCAGGGCAGCTTGGCCCCGGGCTGTGCCTTTGAGAGGGAACCCTGCCTGCTGCACAGATGGCTCTCAGGCTCTCCATGGGCTCCGTGGGCTCCGTGGGCTCCGCAGCTACCACCTGGCAGCTGTGCTTTCCCTAACGTTTATGTGTTTCCATTCAGGATAGAGAGCACCTGGGGCGAGAGGGAGCACAGGGGAGGGGGAGAGGAGGGAGAGAGGGGGAGAGGGGGAGAGAGGGAGAGGGGAGAGGGG